ATTTGTTTAGCAAACAGTCATAGGAAAGTCACATTTTGGCTTCTGCAATTTCCTTAATAGACACTTATTAAAACTAGCTGCGTTATTGTAAGTCTTCAGCTGAAAGGGGTTTGTGGAATCTGAGCTGTAGCAACTAGTGATTTTCTGTCAATGTTCAGTACTTGATAAAGACCAAAGGCCTCAGTGCCCTGTCTGGAGAAAGGCCCTTAAAAGCCATATCTGCCATGGAAGACTTTCACATGCCATCTTCTGTTATTGTTAATCCTGACAGTAGAAAACAAAGCAAGTTATGGACTTGGAGAAGTCAGTTCTTACATATATGCCAAAAAAAAAAAAAGAGAGAGAGAGAGAGACAGACACAGAAAATAAGCATACTACTGAACTCCACAAAAAAGCATAGTTGGGCATTTTAAAAGAGTTGCTGGAGGAAGATGGAAGTTAATCCATCAGTATCATCCTACATCACCCCACCTGAAAGGCTGCCACTCCCTTCCTTTTACTGCCCAAATCGTGCGGATATGATCTCCGTAAGAACGACAGAAAAGCACTGCAGAACCTAACCTTTGTCCAGAAAAACAGTTGGACTACTGAATTTTACACAAAACCACACCCTCCCTCTCTGGCTTCAGTACACAGCACAGCTAGGAATGGTTGCAAAACCAGCTGATAGGAACAAACTCTGAGTCCCAACACATGCCCTCTTGCCTGGTTTCCAGGCTTTGGAGACAGTCAAACCCAGCTGCAGCTCAAGAAGTTTGCAGCTTTCTTGGAGAAAACTTTCTGGGAGACAGGTCAGAGACACAGGCCTTTCCCACATTACCAGACTTCCAGGTGGAAGATCATCTACTCATGCTTGACTAGGTCACCAAACTCTTTCTCTTTTGCAGACATTCAAGATCTAAAAGCCTGTTAATAAACTGGGCACATTAGCATGTTTGTCAGCTAAGGATGGCAGCAATTGAAACCTGTTGAGCCTGGAAACCATCTCCACAGACGCATCATGTGTATTCACACTGTTTAAACAGGAATACTCAGATACACCATTCTGTGTATCCACAAATGCTTTCCGTGCAAGAAAAGGCATATTATAG